AGCCCCAACCCCACGCTGCTTACTGGAAACCCCTCAGACACTAGATTTGCTGGCAGCTGCCCCAAGCCAGGCACCGCCGGCTCAAGAATACTCTTTCTCAAGTGAATGAAGTTTACTTAGGATCCGGATAGCTCATTCCCTTCTGCCTACCATTACATTGCTGGTCGCATGGAATCTCGCTGCTGCATACCCGGATCACTTCGGGGTCATCACTTGCCATCTCCTGGCCTGCCGGGATCGGTGCAATGCAATGAACCTACAACCACATGCTGGTGGGAGTGAGAGGGAACTCTGAAAGAGAGCAAATGCTCCAGATCTCTGGACGCAGTCCCTTTTATTTGCAGATTGGTACCCCCAGGTTAAAATTATTTCCTTGAAGCAAAAGATTACAAACCCTTATTCACATGCAATTGAAGCACCCAATACACCTGGGCGGGCCAGGTTTCCCCCCGGGTCAGGTGAGAGTGCTTAACACAAAGTTACAAAACGTCCATCCTCCAGCCCCTGAACCCCACATGTGGATATAAAGAGTTACTTCCTTGTGGTTTTGATTCACTTTTCTGTAATGACTAATGATGTCGAGAATCTTTCTATGTACTTATTAGCCATTTGCAAATATTTTCTCCCTGTCTATGGCTTGTCTTTTCACTTTCTCAATGGTGTATTTGAAGTACAAAGTTTTAACTTTTAAAATTGTTGATACTATTACAGATGTCCCCATTTGTTCCTCCCTTACCCACCTCTACCTAACCCCTGCCCCTCCTCCACCCCACCGCCTCTGGCGGTCACCACACTGTTGTCTGTGTCCATTGGCTATGCACATATGTTCTTTGGCCTTTTTTCATCCAGTCACCCCAATCTAAAAGTCTTAATTTTGATTGACTACAATTTAACATTTTTATCTTTCATTGTTTGTGCTTTTGCTACTAAGAGTCTTCTAATTTGTGTCTTCCAATAATCTTTGCGTTTCATCTAAGTTGTCTACATTGTTGGCAAACAGGCCTGGGCCTGCCCTGTGGCCTTTTCTAAAAGTCTCTCGAAGGTTCATAAACCTCAAACCAGCAGCAGCTGGCCTCAGCATGCCCTGCACCTCTTGCTAGGCAACCCCACTCCCACCCCCAGACTCCTCAAGCCCAGCACAGGCAGCTACACCACAGATCACTTTGTAGCTCTTACAAGTGGCCCCAGGCCAGACATAGGCAGCAGCTGACCTGAGCCTGCTCCAAGAGGCCCCAGAGCCAACACAGCAAGTGGCTGGCTTGAGACCACAACAGAACACCACCCAATTAGCTCCACGAACAACACGCCCAAGGTCAGTCATGCACACAAAGCCCGCACAAGGACCACCCCTGGAGCACCTAGCTCAGGTGACCGGGGAGACATTAGATGGAATCAACAGCAGATGAAGCAGAGGATCAAATCAGCAATTTGGAAGACAAGGTAGAAGAAAACACCCAATCAGGACAGCAAAAAGAAAAAAAAGAGTTTTTAAAAATGAGATTAGTGTAAAAAGCTTCTTCTGCGGACCAGAGAGTCCCAGGTTCAGTTCCTGCTAGAAGCCTGTACCACAAAAAATAAATATAAATATAAATATAAATATAAAATAAAATAAAATAAAATAAAATAAAATAAATAAAATAAAATAAAATAAAATAAAATAGACATACCAGTCCATGAAGCACAGAGAGTCCCAAACAAGATGAACCCAAAGAGGCCCATACCAAGACATGTCATAATTAAAAAGCAAAAGGTTTTTATTTGTGGAATGTAATGAAAAAAACAAGCTGATGAACAAAATAGACCCAGAGACATAGAATTTGGGTGCCGGTTGACAAACCTCAGAAGAGGGTGATGTGAGGGAGGGAAGAGATAAACCACAGAACTTATATGCCTGTATATGCAACCACGGACATAGACAACAATGCTGGGGGAGGGGCGGGATTGGGAGGAGGGTGTCAATGGCGGAAAAAGGAGAAATATCTGTAATAAACAAAAAAGAAAGTGAAAGGTTAAAGGCAAGCAGAATATTCTTAAAAGCAGCAAATGAAAAGCAGTTAGTTACATACAAGGGAGCTCCCATAAGAATGTCAGCTGATATTTCAACAGAAACCTTGCAGGACAGAGGGACTGGCAAGTAGTGTTCAAAGTGATAAAAAGTGAAGACCTGCAACCAAGATTACTCTAATCAGCAAGGCCATCATTTAGAATCAACAGACAGATTAAAGAGCTTCCCACATTAAAAAAAAAAAAAAAGCTGAAAGTTGGTGTGGCTCAGTTGGTTGACTGCCATCCTGTGCACCAAAAGGTTACTGGTTCAACTCCTGGTCAGGACACATGCCAGGGTTTTGAGCTCAATCCCTGGCAGGGGGTGTGCATGAGGCTGCCGAGCAATGTTTCACTCTCACATCAATGTTTTATCCTCTCTCTCTCTCCCTCCACCTTCCTCTTTCTAAAAATCAATAAAAACATATTTAAAAATAAGGAAAGAAGAATATTATGCTAAGCGAATTAAGCCAGTCAGAGAAAGACCAGTATCACATGATCTCACTTATTTGTGGAATATAATTAACAAAATAAGCCAATGAACAAATAGACCCAGAGACGCAGAAGTAGGGTTCAGACTGACAAATCTCAGAGGAGGGGGGAGGAAAGGAGGGAAGAGATAAAGCACAGAACTTATATGCAAATAAGCATAACCGACTGACATAGACAACAATGCTGGGGGAGTGGGGGCAGGATCAGGAGGAGGAGGAGGGTATCAATGGGGAGAAAAGGAGAAACACCTGTAACAAAAATAAATTAATTTTTAAAAAGAAAGAAAGAAAAGAAAAGAAAAGAAATCTTACCATCTGCAACAACATGGATAGACCTAGAGGGAAAAAAAAGAAAAGAAAAAGCTAAAGGAATTCATCCCCATCAAATTAGTTTTACAAAATACATGCACCAGCATGAAGGGTCTGAAAGAGGTGATGCTGCGTGAACAACGCCAGACAAGAGTGTGTATGAGCCCTGGCCGGTTTGGCTCAGCAGTAGAGCATCAGCCCGTGGACCAAGGAGTCCCGGGTTCAATTCCAGCCAAGGGCATGTACCTCGGTTGTGGTTCGTCCCCAGCCCTGGTCAGTGTTGTGCAGGAGGCAACCAGTCAATGTGTCCCTCTCACGTTGATGTTTTTCTCTCTCTCCCTGTCTCTCTACCTGAAGATAAATAGAAAAATATCCTCAGGTGAGGATAAAAAATAAATAAAAATTATTATTTAAAAAAAAGAGAGTGTGTATGATATAATCGCATTTACACGAAAGGCTCGAGAGGGAAATGTCTGGAGACAGAGACGGGAAGCAGACTGGAGGGGCCTGGGGCAGGGCTGTGTGGTATTTGATGCAAAGGGACAAAAGGCAACTTGTGTATCTCACTGGGCTGGGGTGGTGGTTTGTTAAATATCCATCCAAATGTGTACCTAAAACAGATACAATTTATTGCATATAAATTATACCTCAAGCCCTGGGCGGTTTGGTTCAGTCGTTAGGGCGTCAGCCTGTGGTCCAGAGTCACAGGTTTGATTCTGGTCAAGGGCATGTACCTTGGTTGCAGTTCATACCCGGCCCTGGTCTGGGTTGTGCAGGAGACAACCAGTCGATGTGTCCTTCTCACATCAATGTTTCTCTCTTTCTCTCTCTCTCCCCCTCCCACTCTGTCTGAAGATAAATAGAAAAAATATCCTCAGATCAGGATTTAAAAAAAATTATACTTCAAATACATTATACTTCAAATACATTTTAATTTTATTTATTTATTTTTCTATATTGATTTCTTTTTTTTTTATTTTAAGATTCTATTTTTTTACTTTTTTTTTTTTTTTTTAATCCTCACCTAAGGACATTTTTCCATCTTCTTGTTCAGGTAGAGTGGGAGGGAGAGAGGAACAAAGAGAGAGAGAGAAACATCGACGTGAAAGGAACACATCGAGTGGCTGCCACCCGCACAACCGACCAGGGCCGGGGACAAACTGCAACCGAGGTACATGCCCTTAGCGGGAACCGAACCCGGGTCTCTCAGGACTGCAGGCCGACGCTCTAACCGCTGAGCCAAACTGGCCAGGGCAAGATTCTATTTTTTTAAGGCTGCAGAGCTGATGCTACGAGCACCTGGCTTTATTTCCCCCCATTTTTTGTTCAGATAGAGTGGGAGGGAAGAGAGAGAAAGAGAGAAACATCGACGTGAAAGGGACACATCGAGTGGCTGCCACCCCCATACCCAACCAGGGCTGGGGACAAACTGCAACCAAGGTACGTGCCCTTAGCGGGAACCGAACCCGGGTCTCTCTGGACCATAGGCCGACGCTCTAACTGCTGAGTCAAACCAGCCAGGGCTTTATAGATTTCTTAGAGAGAGAGGACGGGAGGCGGGTAGAGAGATAGAAACATCGATGAGAGAGAACATGGACTGCCTGCCTCCTACATGGCCCCCACTGGGGATCGGGCCCACAACCTGGGCATGTGCCCTCACCGGGAATCAAATTGGTGACCTCGTGGTGCAGGGTCGATGCCCAACAACAAAGCACACCGGCCGGGCTAAATCTATATTTTAAAGATTTTTAGAAGGAAACATGGAATAGTCTTTCAAAATGGAAGCAAGTGATTCCCCGCCCCTGGTGGGGTTAGCACTGGACGTACAGAGTGCTGTCAGGGGGTCCTGTCAGTCTCCAAGGAAAGGGGGTGCTCAGTGGAAAGAGGCCATGGGGGGGCCGGGTACCTGGGAGTCAGGGGCCCCCTGGGGGGTGTGCTGGGAGGGAGACCCAGCTGCCCCTCGCAGGGAGAGAGGAGAAATGTCTGCATTTGGGCAGGGTCTAACAGGGGCCCCAGTGATGCTCCAAACCCACCTGCAAGGGTGGGGGGCTCGGGGGGACCCAGGCCTGTGCGCTGTGACGCCCGTATCACCTGGAGACAGACGCGGGCCTGGAGGGGAGGAGAGTGGGTGATCGGGTCTCCATCGCTGTTTTCCAGAAAAGTCCAAGTGCCGCTCCCTTCGCCCTCTGGCCTTTCTCCTGACCGTGCTCGTCCTGGTCTTCCTCAGGTAAGAAGCCTGCGGGACCCTCTGGGTCTGCCGGGCTTGGGAGAAGCAGCAGCAGGAGCAAAGCAGGTTCTGTTGCCCCGGAGCTGTCCCCGGTCCCCGGATCACAACAGCAATGACGGGACAGATGACGGCCGCCTCAGGCCCCACCGATGGTCCCAAGCTTCACACTCCCTCTTACTGAGGCCTCACCTTGTGAGGAGCCGTCTCCCCCCACGCCACCAGTGGGGAGGCGCGGCAGGCCGGGAAGTCCCCGCGGCCGGGAGTGGGCACGGGCAGCGGAGGGGCTGTGCTGTCAGCTGCTTCCAGGGGGAGCAGGTGCTGCCACAGGGAGGAGGTCACCTGGCCGCTCTACTGGGGGCGGGGACCCTGCCAGGAACCTGTCCCTGGGCAGCCTCGGACCGGCTGGCCGTGCACAGGGACCCCTCCAGCGGCGGCAGGGGCTCACAGGGGAGCGGTGGCCCCGGTAATCGGCCCTCCTTGGGCCCAGTCCTCTGAGCTTTGGGGAGAATTCCCCTGGCCCTGCCCGAGGTCCAGCAGCTGCTCTGGGAGCTCTGGGCCCATGACCTGGGTGCACCGCCTGCTGTCCCTGGGGAAGGTCCCAGGCCGTCCCAGGACCGTGCTCCTCACAAGGGCCCTGGGGCGGGCTCTTCCGCAGCGCTGGGGTCCTGAGCCCAAGAATTCCGGTGCTGGGGACCAGACCAGGAGGAGCAGGGTGAGTGCGTGAAGGACGGGGTCCACGCCCCTGACAGCCCGGGTCCAGGTTTGTGCTCTGTGGGTCTTCGCACCCGCTGAGCCCCCTGCCGGACCTATTCTCTCCTCCTGCTCTCGGCATCGGGCCAGCCCCGCCTTGTATCAGCTAGTTGGGTGGCTCCCAGATCAGTGTCCTCAAGAGAGACAAAGCTGCATCCCTTTGAGGACCGGGCTGTAGAAATCTACAGCATCAGCATTTGATTGGTTGGAATCTGGAAACCGAGGCCAGTCATGTGCAGGGATAGAAATCGGGCCACCTCACGCGAGGAGGGTCAGCGCGCCGACACCTTTAAACCACCACCTGCTCGGTCTCGGCTCCGCAGCGGCTGGTGAACGCGGGCCCTACGGCTCAGCAGAGGGCACCCCTCCTCCGACTGTGGTGTCTCATGTCCCCGAATCAGACATGCAGGGACACAGGCCAGCACCAGCCCACTGCCCAGGGAGGGCATGTTTAAGACGAAGTCCGTGTCCTCACTCCGGGCCACCCCATCCCCTGAGCGTGGCCCTGAGTTGTCCTGCTAAAAGCCCTCTGTTCTCACTCCACAGCGAAGCTGCTACAAAGCCAGCCGGCCAGCAAGTTGTGAAATTACCGAGGTACAGTGACTTCCTCTGGGTCCTCCCGGCGGGACGCCTGCCCTCCAGCCCAAGGGTGTGTGGGAGACAGAGGCGGGGGTTCTGGGGACAGGCCATCCGTCCTCCTGTGCTCCCCCGGAGACGACGGCCCTGCTCCAGCCCCGGGCACTCCTCCAGGCGGAAGGCAGAGGCCTCAGTCACTCTCCGCCACCGCCACCCCTGCCCCTGCGAGGGACTTGCAGAGAGCTTCCGGAAACTCAGGCCACGCTTGCTGTTTTGCAGGATGGTTTATCCCCAGCCCCGGGTGCTGACACCCTCGTGAGTACATTGATTGGGATTCACGGTCACGCGCGACACTGCAGGGAAGTCCCACTGGAATCTCCCCTGGAACCGGCTCTGCCCATCCTCCCTCTGGGCCGCCTGGATCCGGGCCTGGCGCCCCCAGAGCTTCTCTGCCTTTCCTCCCTGTGGCCCCCTCTCCTCTTTCCTGCCCCTCATTCGCCCAAGAAAGCGCAGAGGGTGAGGGGCCTCCTCGCAGGGGCTCCCGCTTGGCTGGATCCCGGCTGCCCCTGGGGTCCCAGGGTGCAGTATCTGGTCCGTGGAGGGGATCTGCACAGTTTGTACCTGGTAGGTTTCCTGCGGATGCCAAGTCCTCTGGAAGGAGGTCAGCCCCGGGCGCAGAGGCGATGGGCAGAGTGGGGGTGCCCCGTGGGCGGTGAGCGAGGGGACGCGCGTCTTTACCCTCCTGCCAGCTCACACGTTGCCATGGTGCCCTCTCGCGGTGCAGAAGGAAAGATGTCCTTGTCCTGACCCCCTGGCTAGCCCCCATCATCTGGGAGGGCACCTTCAACATTGACATCCTGAATGAGCAGTTCCGGCTCCAGAACGTCACCGTCGGGCTCACCATCTTTGCCATCAAAAAGTAAGGAGGTGGCACAACAGAGGGCAGAGACCAGAGGTGGGAGGGACAGGTTCATCAGGGTCTGTCTTTGTGTCCAGGGCAGAGTGGGGGGGTCCTGCCCTGTCCCCCAGAGCGGCAGATGTGAAAGCCCAGAGCCCGCATTCACAGGGCAGGGGCCGGCATGACTTTCGGGATGAGCTCTGGAGTCGGGCTGGATCTCAGCATGCGGGTGGGGGTACCTGCGTGTGCCCTGCTCAGCCACTGTGCTCACCTTCCCTGTGAGGACTTCACTAACCGGCCACGTGCCAGGCAGGCACAGGGGAGGCACCTCAGTGCTGCCCGAGAAAGTCAGGGTCGCTGGGGGCTCAGCACACTGTGGCTGTCCTCACGGTGGGGCAGGTGACCCTGGGAGACCTCAGGAGAGAACCAGCCATCAGAGGCATTTGAAGAAGACACCCCCGGGTGGGGGAGGCCTATGAATTGGGCCTGACCCTGCACCCTGGACTGCAGTTGGGGCCAAAGCAAGCTCTCTCATTTTCCTGGGGTCCACCTCTTCCCTCCCTCCCCATGTGCTGGACCCGGTCCATAGTGCAGGAGGTGGGTGAGTTCATGGGGGACCCCTCTTGGGACTACCAGCAGTTTGCTGGGGACCCTGTCAGCAAGACACCCTGCAGTGCTTGAGGGAGGACCCTTAGGGGTAGAAAAGGCAGTGTGGAGCCCCCACTTAAAATGAGGGTACTGGTGGCTTGGCCCTCCTGGGTTCAAGCTGGGCCAGGAGGTGCTCAGCTGAGGCCAGGTAAGGGTGGGGGGTGGGCAGATCTCCTCCCAGGACCACAGCACAGGGTGCGACCCCGCTCCAGCTCTGCTGCCGTCTCTCTAGGCCTTCTGGGAGTTGACACAACGGAATGCACTACAAGCGCACGCTGGTGGGAGTGAGGGGGAGCACAGCAAGGGAGCAAATGCTTCAGACCTCTGGATGCAGCCCAATTTATTTGCAGAGTGGTTCCCCAAGTTACATGTGGATCTACATAAATTATTTCCTTGAGATGGCCTAGCCTTGTCTCTCAGGTTTTATGGTGGAAAGAGACTTCAAAGCTAAAAAATAACGAACCCAGAAGGTCCTGAGTCCTACAACTCATTGGCCACGCAAGGCAGTGTTCCCACCTTTGTCACGCAAACCTTATCTTATACACATGCAAATGAGGCATTAATTTGCACCCAAGGCGGTTTTCCTACCTTCCAGTCAAACCTGTCTGTCCACCCACTCACTTTGATCCTAGGCTGGCCAGGTTGTGAGAATGCACATCACAAGCTTAGAAATCGTCCGTCCACCAACCCCTCATCTCTACACTCTGCTGGCCCAGGGGCTGCTCCTGCTCCGACCACCTGAGCCTCGGGCCCTCCTTCATAGGATGGGGTGCTGACGGCCCCCATCTTTGGGAGCAGAGGATTAGGGAGGCCCCGCTGGCACTGGCTCAGGCCAGGCCAGGAAAGTGGCTGCTCCTTGAAGAAGGTGCTCAGGCTCCAGGGCCCCAGGGTTGGTGGCTCCACAGTGACGCCCTGCCCGTCCCTCTCCTGTTGCTGTAGGTACGTGGTCTTCCTGAAGCTGTTTCTGGAGACGGCGGAGGAGCACTTCATGGTGGGGCACCGGGTGATCTACTACGTCTTCACCGATCGGCCGGGGGACGTGCCGCGCGTGCCCCTGCGCAAGGGCCGCCGCCTGGTGGTCCTCCAGGTCCCCGCTGCCGCGCGCTGGCAGGACGTGTCCATGCGCCGCATGGAGATGATCAGTGACTTCTGTGCGAGGCGCTTCCTGCGTGAGGTGGCCTTCCTGGTGTGCACGGACGTGGACATGCGCTTCCGTGACCACATGGGCGTGGAGATCCTGTCCCCGCTCTTCGCCACCCTCCACCCCGGCTTTTATGGGGCCACTCGCCAGACCTTCACCTACGAGCGCCGGCCGCAGTCACAGGCGTACATCCCCAAGGACCAGGGTGACTTTTACTACCTGGGGGGCCTCTTTGGGGGGTCGGTGTCCGAGGTTCACCGGCTCACCACGGCCTGTCACCAGGCCATGACGACTGACCGCGCCAACGGCATCGAGGCCGTTTGGCATGACGAGAGCCACCTGAACAGGTACCTGCTGGACCACAAGCCCACCAAGGTGCTGTCCCCGGAGTACCTGTGGGACGAGCAGTTGCTGGGCTGGCCAGCGGTCATGAAGAAGCTGAGATACGTGGCTGTGCCCAAGAACCATCAGGAAATCCGCAACCGCTGAGGGGTGGAGGAGGGCTGAGGGGGGCTGTGGGGGACCCAGCCTACCTAGGATGCTGCCTTGATGGATTAGAACCTTTATGGCCCCTGGAGCATAGCTGCACTTTGTTTTCTGTCCTGCGGAGGGAACTTGTTGAGGCCCGGCACTGTCCCCACCCCACACATATAGGCCTTTGGGCACCTCCACCCGTGTCCCGCCCCACACGCAGGCATGCAGGAGACAGGTCCATTCCCTGGGCACACGTGCCTGGAGTGGCCCGGCCATCAGCTGCCCGCCGGGCTCCTCAGGCCCCTCAGCTCGGATGAGGCAGGTGGGCCCAGCCCTCTTGACAAACAAGGGATTCCAGATGAAGTCAATTCCAGGGCAGCTGGGCACCATAGTGATGGGGGCCGAGGGCACACCTGACTCCGGCTTTAGCCCCTAGTGGCAGGACGTGGAGGGGAGGTCGTATCAGGACCCTCTCGGTGGGCGCCCGGCAGCCTGTCGGGCCCAAGGCACTGCCCACTGCCCTTAGAGAGCAGGACAGCCCCCTTCCCATCACCTCAGGAGAGGGAAACGCCAAGCCCAGAGCCTTGACATCCTCTGTGACTCTGCTACCGTCTCAAAGCGCCTGCCTGTCCTGAGATCCTGCCGCTGTCCATTCTCCCCGCCATTTTCATCACTGTTCACTGTGACTGGCCAGGACCTGGCCAGCGTCATGTTGGCCTGATTGTAGAAACAGTCTCCCTCCTGCATTAATCCTGGGCCTTCCTGTCTCTGGTCTCCTCCACAGTCAATCAGACCCTGACATTGGTCACGGGAGCCAGCCTCCACCTCGTCCCTGTCCTCACTGCCACTCAAGTTGGACCTGGGCTGTGCGGGGCCCCAAACTTATAGTTCGGGGGCTCTTGAGGGACAAGAATAAACATTTAGGTCAAGCTGCGTGTTTAGACGAGAAATTGCGTGCTAGGAGTGTCTAGCTGCAGTGGCCACCTTGCGTTTCCTCCGAGCCCGGACCTTGTTTCCACCTGCAGAGGGTCTCTAAGGGGGCCTCCCTCCAGTCTAACTTCCTGTCCTTTCCACTTCCTCCGGCTGTGCCCACGTGACCCTCGGCACAGTCCTTTCCTGGCCAAACCGACCTCAATAGCCAGCTCATTCTCCCTTATGCTTCTCCTGATAGTCACCTGTCCCCTCACCCACCGCCTGTCCTGTACCCTGTCATTTGGAGAGTGCTGTGTAAATGAAACCATTCGTTACTATGACCCGAGGGATCTGTGAGCATCTAGGTGGGCACTGACCTCTTGAAGGACACTTGGGTCCTTCATAGTTGTGTGCTACTTCAAATCAAGTTGCTACGAACGCCTGGTGCAGGTTGTGGGGACATGTATTTTAGCTCCTGGGAAAGTATGTTTGATCTCGTAAGAAACGACCACACTGGCTCCCTGAGGGAGGTGCCCTGTGCGTGCCCACCAGCAGTGAATGCAGTTCCTGCTGCTGCATGTCCTTGTCACGTTCGGTGGGGTCAGTGTTTTGCAAAGCCCTGGTGGCACGTAACGTGGAGCGTCTTCCCTTATGCTGACTGGCCATGTGCACCTTCTGCGGTGAGGTGTCTGGCCAGAGCTTATGCCCATCTGTTGTGTTGATTGTTTTCTTTTCTTTTCTTTTTTACATTTTTCCAATTTTTGTACAGATAGAGTGGGAGGGAGAGAGAGAGAGAAAAACATCGATGTGAAAGGGACACATCGAGTGGCTGCCACCCGCACGACCAACCAGGGCCGGGGACAAACTGCAACCGAGGTACGTGCCCTTAGCGGGAACCGAACCCGGGTCTCTCAGGACCGCAGGCCGACGGTCTAACCGCTGAGCCAAACCGGCCAGGGCTGTTGATTGTTTTCTTATTGTTGAGGATTAAAGGGTTATATATATCTGGGTACCCATTCTTTGTCAGATATGTGTTTTGAAAACACTTTTGAGCCCTGGCCGGTTTGGCTCAGCGGTTAGAGCGTCGACCTGCGGTCCAGAGAGACCGGGGTTCGGTTCCCGCTAAGGGCACGTACCTCGGTTGCAGTTTGTCCCTGGCCCTGGTTGGTCATGCGGGTGGCAGCCATTCGATGTGTCCCTTTCACGTCGATGTTTCTCTGTCTCTCTCTCTTCCTCTCCCTCTCCCTCCCACTCTATCTGAACAAGGAATGGAAAAATGCCCTCGGGTGAGGAAAAAGAAAAAAAAAAAGAAAACACTTTCGAGTCTGTGGCTTATCTTGAAATCCGCTGGAAGAGAAAGCCACAGAAATGTCCTCCTCTCCCCTCTTCGTGCATCCCCTACAGTCAGGGGCTTCTCTCTCTTCCTTGAGGGGGAGCCTGGTGAGTCCCCACCTCGAGGACCTATGTCCTCTGCTGGGGTGGGGGGCATTTCTGGGCCAATGAGACGTGTTGCTCACCATGGCAACACGTGGGCTCACCTGGCCACCTCAGAGCAATGTGCTCCACCTGAGCTGACCTTGAGGGCATCAGGGCTCTCTCCCTCTTCCCCACCGAGCAGAAGCTGCATGTGCTGGGCATGTGGGCTGGGGCTGGCACAGGGCTGGGCAGGGATTGCTGCAGAGGACCCTGAGGTGTGGTCCTGATGCAAGGCCCAAGCCTGATGCTCTGACTTTCTGGCTCCTTCCATGAGGCCCCTTCAAAGGTCCCTTCTGTTTGCACCAGCCCCAGTGGGCCCTGCTGTCGCAACTGAGAACCCCACGTGGATAGAGCACGTTCACGGTGCCCCTGTGACTGGCTGAGCTGCCCTAGACCTGGGCTCCCGGCTGAGGGTAAGAGGTGCCACCTCAGAGGGGGCTGCTCAGCTCAGTGGAGTTATGCAGTAGGGTGGGGACAGGGGTGGGGCAGGTCTAGGCTGGGAATGGGTGGGGGTATGGGACAGGGCAGAGGCCAGACATATGGGACCTCATAGCTGGTGAGTCACTTCTGGCTGCCTTCACCACCTCCACTCCCAGCTCCACCTCCTCCCCCCTCAGAGGTCAGCCCTGGTTTCCAAGCCCTGCTTTCCCAACTAAGGCTAAAGGGGACACAGAAAATACCAAGGAGGAAGAGGACTGACTGGCAGTGTCCACCCCCAGGAAATGAAGTTCCAGAAGAGCACGCGCCCAGGAACCCTCCCCGCCCAACACCCACAAGTGCACACACACACACAAACAGGCCCAGGCACACTGTGCATGCATGGGTGTGGAACACAGCTACGTGCCTGTTTGTGTGACAGGGAAAGGGTTAGACCAGTGAGCAACCCTTCAGGGCTCTTCTCCCTGGAAGGACTTTGTTCTTTACTTGATTCTGGGTGTTACCTCTCAACTTCCATATTACTGTCCTAAGCCTCTCATCCCAGGAAACCAAAACCCATCACCCCAGTCAGGAGGAACGGAAGGCCGGAACCACCCTAACCCACTAAAAACTGCAAACAGTCGCTCGACAAGAAAAACAAGTTTCAGGAGACCCCAGCCCCCAACCAATCAAGAACTCAGGAGACCCCAGGCCCAACCAAAGACTACCATGTCTCCTTGGCTGAATGACCACCCCCCCCCCCAGCCCTAAGTTTAAAAATCCCTAGTCTGAAGCCCTGGCCAGTTTGGCTCAGCGATTGAGCGTCGGCCTGTGGACCAGAGAGTCCCGGGTCCAGCTAGGAGCACGTACCACACACATACACACACACACACACACACACACACACACACAAATTACATGAAAAAAAGTACTGAGTAAAAATCCCTAGTCTGTACAAGCCGGTTGCTACTCCTTCCTTAGAGGTAGTCGGTCAGGCTGCTTCCCAATAAACCTGCACTGCTGGAGACCCCGTACCGCCTCGTTCCGCCTCGTTCTCACATGATGGTGCTGAACCCGGGAACGGGAGCCTGGTAGCCTGGACGAGCACAGACCACCCTTACTACCTGGGAAGCAGTGGGCTGCGGAAGCTCCCCTGAGCTCACTTCCACATTCTGGGTGGACTGTGGTTTGGGTTGACTGGCCGGCTCCAACCCGTCCCGGGCCCCCTCCTACCTGCCGAACCAGAAGGGAAGGAATTTCTCCCTCCCCTCTCTGGTTGGCCTTCCAAATTGTAGGCACCCTCACTGTCCCTTTCTCACACTCTCTCTCCTTCCCTGTGCTCCCTTATTCTTCCACCTACAATTTGCTACCGGGTGGCCCGGCCCTCTCATTTTCGTCTCGAAATTCATCAAGTGACCTGCCTGTCTCGCTCTCGTCTCCAAATCTAGGTACCTGTCCGAGAGCCTGGGAGCTGGCGCCAGGCAAACTGCTCAGCCGTTACCTCGCGTACCCAACCTAGACTCCCACCCTGTTTCAGGAACTGTTTGCCCCGAACTCATAGATCAACTCCTGTCCCATTCTCCTGTCCTAGTCCAGGAACTGTTTGCCCGGGACAATAGACTCACATTCCAGGGGCCCCCATGCGTAGCCCCTCAAGACCTAACCCTAACAACAAGTTCTCGCTGCCATAGGCGCGGATATAAAAATCACAAACCCCAGCATCGGGCGCAGCTTCTCGGACTCGACTCCCGGAGTCTGTGAACCCGCCCGGAGTGTACCCAATAAAGCCTGAGTTCTGCTTATTCGGCTGTTTGGCTCTTCGGTTTCTTCCCACCTCCCACCGGCGGCGCCTGGCTACCTTTCAGTACCTAGTCGGACCTCTCGCTACTCTCAGGCACTCAAGTTGGGGTGATGACTCCTTAATTTGTCTGGGGTCGTCTCAATCAAAACAGCCTCGTTCAAGCCCCCTTGGCTGCCTAAACTGAAAAACCTAAAAAACCTCGGCCTCTCTGATCTGAGGACCCGCAAACTCATATTCCTCTGCAATACGACCTGGCCCCAGTATAAACTCAACAATAACTCTCAAGGCCAGAAAATGGCACTTTTGACTTCAATATTCTAAGAGACTTAGATAGTTCCTGCCACCGGACAGGCAAGGCCTCAGAAATTCCTTACGTGCAGGCTCTCTTCTCTCTCCGCTCTCACCCTTCCCTTTGCTCTACCCCCTCCACCCACCAAGTCCTTCTAGCCTGATCCCCAATCCCCCTCTTTTCTACAGATTCTTTTGACCCTCAAGACCATTCGGCCCCCAGTCCTCCTCCTCCTCCCCCTCCTCCCCCAGACACACCCCTTCTCCCGCAGCACCAACCGCTCCGCCTTATCCGAATACCTCTTCTCTCCCACCAGACGAGCCTTCCCCCACGTCCCTCCCCTTTCTCTGTCCACATAAACCTCCCCATCCCGGCCTATATCCACTCCGTGAGGTTACGGGAGCTGAGGGAATAGTCCGTGTAGACATCCCCTTCTCCCTCTCTGACTTATCCAAATTGAATGCCACCTTGGCTCCTTCTCCTCTGATCCCGACACCTACATCAAGGAGTTTGATACCTCACTCAATCCTAT